AAAATCCATAGACAGCGTAATATCTCTAAAAAGGTATCAAAATGGAATGATGGTGCTTTATTCAACACTATTCTCAAAAAGCAATGCAAAAACTATATCCACGGTTTTACATCTTCCAGCAAATAGTACAGACTGCACTCTTGAAGTGATTAGAATAACAGAAATAACAATATAATTCAGCAACAAATTCAAATTGTCTCAATAGAACTGTACAAGAGATAAGATTTATTGATATCATGGATTGTATATTAATATTATTAAGAATTGATGGATTACATTAATTTTGTTTAAAATAGTCAATACTTTAGCAATTATGGCATATGTGTTATTTTCTAATCAACTGCATTCTAACTATTACGATTTCATTGAAAAAATTTTGTTTTTCCAAATAACTAATTATTATATCACATTAATTGAATTTTTAATGATAAAAATCGTCAACGTCTACTATGTATATTAGTTAGTCAATATATCTATACATTCATACTTATCCATAACGTGACTGATGGTTTTAAAAAACATAGAATTCTATTCATAAATTCATTCAAGGGATATTAAATATTTTGAATGGATTTAGACATGTTTCGACAAATTTCACCAAAGTTAAATCCAGATGTGTTAATTGCAATATATTAAATATGAGAAATTACCATTTCTAAAAAGATAAAATAATCACGTATTTGAAATTCCCAATCATTTAGATAGAATATATTGTTGTTGATTTCATCGAGTGATCATATTTAAATAATGCAAATAACAATAGAACATTATGTACTTTATAATATTATCATTTGTTTAGCATGTCCATTGGCATGATACCATTTAAGTGTCGTTTCTGATTGAATTTATCAATATTTACGAGAATGTAAATCTAGGTAATAGACAATGCTAATTGATATACAGATCTTTGTATTAGAATGGGAATTGAAAAGTTCATCAATGTTGATTAAAATAGAGAGAATATTCATTGCACTATATGGAATGAATTAAGATTCGATAAGATAGTTTTATACCAGCTAAACAATACAAAATATTTTTTACAGTACATTATTGTACCTGCTAATCAATACATGCATCATCAATATTTGAAGTTTATTTTTCAATAAAAGTCATGGATAAGAAAAAAGTATCTATATCTGTGGCTATCAAATGAATTTGAATGTCATGATTATATTATCGTGAACAAAATCCATATGTTACATAATATATTTGGGCATATTTGAAAAATTATTAAATAGCTCTCCAATCAAATCTTGAGCCAAATTCTTCTATGTTGGATTAACTATCTGATCAAGAATATGATAATCATGAAATAGAACTTCATACACTACCATGACATATAGCATATTTATTATTCAACAGTATAATCAATGTCCATACAATAATTATAAGATAGAAGATCTGGGCATTAAATAACTTATTGTAGACTCTAAATTTCATTTAATGAGAGAAAGGATGTTTATAACAAGTAGGAATTGCAAAAGTAAAAACCTCAACTTTTAACGTAAGTTTAATTAAAATAGAGATTCAATTAATCTGTACAAAAGAAATTATAAGTCATTTGTTTTAAAAAGCAAATAGTAACAAAATTTTGAACCACAAATCATAAATTTAAAAGATGTTTTTAAGATTCAAACTTTTATTCATAAAATATGCAACTGTTTTAATCTAACTAAAATGGTTCTTGAATGAATTTTTATATTCTAAAAGAATACTTTGTACTTTATAAATGAACATAGCAGGGTTCTATGTTATTTTCTAATAGTGCATAGAATTTCTCCTTAAAAATTATTCCAAACCAATTTTAGTCTCGAATGTTTTCATTAATTAATCAGTATCATATAAAATCTAGGTTTTACAAATATGTTGATTTATTATTATATATATACAAGTCAGTCAACACATAAAATATTTTCTTGAATTCGGTATATTAATCTACTTTGATCATCTTTCAAAAATATTTCGTAACTATAGTCCTCAAAATTTCCAACCCTGTGATGATCATTCTTATTGTGAAAGACATGAATTTTTTTTCGAAACTTCTTACAGTTTTTGATCCAAAAGACTTACTCTATATCGAAATAGCATTTGAACATTTTAATATAACAACGAAAACACAGTATCCAATATTCATTTCGATTCCACAAAATATTTACAGTATCAATGGATTAACGGCATTTGCTATTAATGCTGGAGATTTACAAAGGAATATCAAACTCCTCAAAACAAATACATTCATTTTGGATAGTTCTTTTAAAATTTTTCGACTCTCCGATCTTGATAGTTTTCAAACAGCAAATGAAATCGAACTATTTTTGCAACTGAAAATCCAGAGCATGAATGATTTTAAAAAGTCCCTGGAACATGATATTTTTGAATTCACAGAAGAGATGAAACTTATTTTATTCCCAACATATATCGAGATTCCATTTCTGATGGGTTATACCTCTGGCAAGTATTCTTATTTGGACCAAAAATCTCAGATCCTGAACATTCATAGGTTTTTAGTAAAGTTCATCTTTCCAAAGTCAGCAATACTGCACCTTACTGGAGGTTTAGTCCATTTTGTTACTGAAGACAAGTTGATTGTCAAAAATACTACAAACAATATTGAGGAAAGAACTGAGATTTCGGTTGAATATCTAATGTATTCTCGACTAGAATTTTATTGCAATAATGACTGGGCCAACAACTTTCATGAGATTATTACAAGTGTAGCCACTGTTATATTTGCCTTTACACAAGATATTTTATCCATAAAGTTTTTATTCGTAGACTATGATACTGTGTATATGGAAATTCAGATTCCAAGAGTTTTATAGATTCTAAATGATCTTCAAAGCATTAAAGACATCTTGCTAGTCATACATTCAATACAAATATGAAATAAATATTCAATTGATAAATTTGGTATGCCAATGAATCCGATTATTTTATTGTTAAAATCAAAAATATATTCATACATTTCCAAGGGATGCTGATGAGTAAACGAGGTATATTGTGGAAGCTTGAATGTATCATTAAAGAAGATGGTATAGGGCCAATTGAAGGTGATTGCTAGAATGGGTGGAGTATATCATTCTGAAATTCTCCAATTATTAATATTTTCATACTACAGCAACTCATCAGCAACTTCATGATGACGTAGCCATACACTTAGTCTAACAAACAGCTCATTGCCATTGCAGATTAGCTGCTGGAAATATATGTTGTATCCAGGGCCATTCTAGTATCTTACTGACTATTTTACAACTTTTTTTGAAAAATTTTCATCCCCAACATGGCTGCTATTTCGATCAACAGAGCTGGTAAAGTTAGAGCACAAACACCCAAGACACCTAAAATGGAAAAGGCAAGAAAGAAGACAGGTAGGGCAGCGTTAAGGATTAAATTTGCCAGACGATCTGAGACAGACTACTTTGCAGCCAAGGGCAAGGTTAGACTAAACAAAAACGTGGTTAGAGAATAAATTATGTTTCCAATTGCACAACTGTTTTACTTCATCATAAAAATAATTTTATATGTCCAAATGGGCCTCATTTGAATTTTAAATTGTAATATTTTTTGTATAGCTCTCTGAGGGATTTCTTTTTAGCCAAAAGTTGTTGGATTTCCGAATTCCACCCATTAGGACAGCTAGCTTGCTATTTCCGAAAATTATCTTTTCTTACCTCCCCATGGCTAGAAAAAAACAAAACAAGTTATCGAAGAAGCAGAATATCAATTCTGCCCTACCTACCCCAAACAAAGTAGCCAGCAAGCCAGATCTCGATAAGGATGCTCTATTGAAAGAGGAGTTGGAAGTGTCATCCAAACAAGCCAATGAAATGTTTACTGAAGAGTATCCAATTTACCCTGAAAGGGGTACTTTTGAGTATACCTTTACTCGTGCCGATCAAAAATACAAGATACCCAGCAACAGGCCAGTGAGGATATATTGTGATGGTGTATATGATTTGTTTCATTACGGCCATGCTCGACAGCTAAAGCAGGCCAAGAACCTATTTAAAAATGTACATTTACTTGTGGGAGTAGCAAATGATGAAGACACCCAAAGCCTAAAGGGTGTTACAGTAATGAATGAGAAGGAGAGGTATGAAAGTGTCCGTCACTGTGGATATGTTGATGAAGTTATTGAGGGATGTCCTTGGGTCATTACAGACGATTTTTTGATTGAAAACCGCATAGATTTTGTGGCACACGATGATATTCCCTACAAGTCTGCAACATCAGATGATATCTACCAAAGTTTGAAGCACAAAAAAATGTTTATTCCAACAATGAGAACGGATGGAATCTCCACAACTGGCTTGATTACGAGGATCATAAAAGATTATGAAATATTCTTACGTAGACAGATTCTCAAAGGAATCTCCTGCAAAGAGCTTAACATTTCATTCCTGAAGGAGAGTAGAGTGAAGATAAAAAACAAAATCAACTCAGAATTCCAAAAGGTGAATAACGATATTAAGGAGTTGTCTGACAAAGTTAATACTGAGATATTGGGGATTGCTTCGGAAATAAAGATGGCTATTAAGTATTGGGAAGAAAAGTCGAATGTATTTATTTCTGGATTTCTGGACAGATTCGAAGGTGGTAGGGGATTTATTGAAAAAATTAAATCCATCGTTAAAAATAAATGATGATATTTTTTAATTTTAAGACCAATTGAATTTGGAGTTGGTGGTGTTATGTCCCTCTGTACTATACCTGTAATATCATAAAGTTTATAAGTAACCAATCAGAGACATTGATTTCGAAATCTGGTTGAAGATTTATTTAGATCACAATTGTTATCAATACAGTTCCTTTTTCTTCAATATGTGGAGAATAATGCAGATGAGATATTGAAATTTTAAAATTACTCCCAATCACTTGAAATAAATGATTATACAACAACTATATAGCACACGAAATAATTCCTGGTGGATATGGTACATTATTAACACAGATAATATCCAGAGAGCAGTAAATTATTCGAAGCCCAAGTGCTCTATTCCAGAGGTTTGGACAAAATTATACAATCTTGTTTGCAATAATTTCGAGTACAACAATATAGATTGCTGAAAATAATGGCTTCATATTCCCAGTCAAGTGGTTTTCCATTGCTGGCTACCTCAAAAGAATAGGATATTTTCATCCCCAAAATGTATAATTTGCTTACAGAATACCTTTCAGATAAGGAGCTACAGTTCTTGGAGAAAAATACTGTTTTCGATTCTGAAGAAATAAATGGATTATTTGAACGATTTATGTTTTTGGATAAAAGAAATACAGGCTATTTGTCGTTTACAGATTTCCAAATGATACCAGAGTTTTTTTCAAATCCATTTAGAGCTCTTATTTTATCATACATTGAGGAGACAATAAACGAGTATGAAAAGATGAACTTTGCATATTTCTTGGACTTTCTGGCCATCTTTCATCGAAAAACCCCAAAGTCGGAGCGGATCAATTTTTTATTTAGTATTTTTGATCTGAATAAAGACCATAAGCTGTGCAGAGGCGTGTTAAAGGAAATTTACAAAATAATGGGTGGGTGCCAGCCATATATCGATGAGCCCTGTGTAGACACACTGATTGGGGAGGAAATAGATGAAATCATGAAGTATGATGTTGGTCAAAAGGAATATTTGGATATTGTGGACTTTAATAGATTGTATAGTGAGGATTCAGTCCTGGAAGATATTTTGGTAATTGATTTTAAAAAGAACATTCCAAAGAGCGATTCAAGAGCAGGAATCTGTGAAATTCTATGGCAAAATAAATAAACAATTCATAGGAATACTGATTTTGGTGTTTGTTTAATTATGTTTATTTAAAATCCATAGACAGCGTAATATCTCTAAAAAGGTATCAAAATGGAATGATGGTGCTTTATTCAACACTATTCTCAAAAAGCAATGCAAAAACTATATCCACGGTTTTACATCTTCCAGCAAATAGTTCATTCACAACTATCCAATTATTTGGTTAATAGCTTCATTTTCTTGCCCCAAGGAATGGGAGATTTGTTTTTATTTAATTCGCTCTCCAAAAAACTGGAAAAGTTTCAACCAAAGGATCCCAATGATATTAAGGTGTATATATGTGGACCCACTGTGTATGATTTGCCTCACATCGGTCATGCTAGAACTTACATTTCATTTGATATTATGAGAAGAATAATGCAAGAATATTTCAAATATGATATTACACTGGTAATGAACATCACCAACATAGATGACAAGATCATCAACAGATCCAATGAGAGCAATATTCCCTGGAAGCAGTTGGCAGATAGATTTGAACATGAATTCCTGATGGAAATGGAGAATCTTAATGTCCTCAGACCCAACTTTATAACAAGAGTTAATGAATATGTTCCTGAAATCATCCAATTCATCGAAAAATTAGAGTCCAAAGGCTTTGCATATGAATTCAACGGCTCTGTTTATTTCGATCTGGAAGTGTATAAAAAATCGCACAGGTATAACTTGCTGAGGCCTGAAACCACTAAGGCTGCAGCTGAGACCAATCCAATACCATCGGTGATGGAAGGGGAAGTCTTGAATTCAGATATTAAGAAAAATCAGGATGATTTTGTTCTGTGGAAGGCCTCAAAAGATAATGAACCTTCTTATAGTTCCAAGTGGGGTCTTGGAAGGCCTGGATGGCATATAGAGTGTTCAGTTATGGCATCGGAAGTCTTTGGGAATAAGTTAGATATTCATGCAGGGGGAATAGATCTTTGTTTCCCACATCATGAAAATGAAATAGCTCAATGCCATGCCTATTTCGATGGGGATAATAATGAACAAGTGGATGGACTTGAGAGGAATACTATGGGAGATGACGAGAAAGATCCCAGCATATCATCTGACAGTTGGGTAAAGTACTTTTTACACACTGGCCACTTAAATATTGATGGTCGCAAAATGAGTAAGTCGTTGAAAAACTTTTTGACCATATCAGATATTTTAAAGGAATGCTCTCCAGAAGCTTTCCGAATTATGTTTATTCATCATTCATGGAATAGTCCCATGAATTATGATCCAGAGCAAATCAAGAGAGCAGAGGCTACGAAAAAGAAACTGTACAACTTCATTTCGAATGTGGATGCAATAATTCAGGATCGCATAAATAGTATGGCAGGAACTATTGGGACGTGTAAGATTCTAGATCAGATGGATAGTTTAAAGATGAACTCTGACAGTAAAGATTCAGATAAGCTTTCGACAGTGATCAGTGAAAGATGCTTGATTAGATCTTCTCTTAATGATTTGGACAAATCTCTCTACAATGCCCTTAAGGGCTGCAAGACTACTGTTGATGAATCGTTTTGTAATAACTTGAACACATCGAAGGCCTTGGATGCTATTCTTAATCTTATTACAACCACCAACATCAATCTAAGGCTCTTACATTCAGACATTCTGATTACCATCAATAGCTTCGTCAAACGCATTCTGAAAATATTTGGTTTATTGGAGCACTATGGCAACCATGATTCAGGCTCTCTGGCAACATTGGACACAATGGCCAATATTTTAAATGATTTTAGATCAAATGTTAGATTGGCTGCCAAAAACAAGATGGATTTCAAAAAATACTTTGAACTTTGTGATTCAGTAAGAAATAAGATTCGAGACTGTGGCTATCAGATTGATGATGAAAAGGAGGGATCATTGATTAGGAAAGTTTGAATAAATCATTTTATTAATATATTGTAGAAAAATAGCAAAGTTTTACCAGATTTCAATATAACTGAAGATTCAACCATTCATCATATGACTATTCCAAGATCATTAAGATAATTTCAAAAAGCAATTCTAAATTGATGATTAAGTCACTTATTAAAACGAATGTTTGAGACAATGCCTTTTTGATATTCTATATAGAATAACATTGGTGTAAAATATCATCACCTGCCTAAAAATAAGTTTATCAGAGCTCATTTAATCTTTATTTCATATTCACAGACTTTTAGCTCCACAGTGTTCATTGGACGGATAGTTCCTTGCAAAGAGTCGATCACTTTCCTTTATATCTGAGTCTTTTATAGATGTTTTCTTCTCCCCTCTTCCATTTATGTAATATTCAACTTGCTTTGTAATCGGCATGCCCATGTTTTCATACAGATATTTGGTTTCTGCTTTAAATATTCTTAAGTCCATGGATCTAAGACGCTTCTTCAACCGCTCTGTTTCCTCAAACAATTCAACCAGAGATTTATTCAATACCATTAATACTCAGAGGGTGATTGAAAAAAATAAATTTATACCAAAAATGCCTTGTGAGAATGGAGATAGCTTAAACCTCCATTATAATGCCTATGGTTCTGGAGTAATAATACAAGATTGATAGGCTTAATTTCAGAAACATATGTGAGGTTTCTCAACTTTATGAGAGAGATGGATTTAGTAATATGTCTCACAGATTAAACATTAATTTTTTGGTATTTTATAGTTAAAAAGTTATGTCCTTTATTTCAGGAGGTTTTTATTGGGTCTGTTCAGTAGTAAATAATTTAAGTATTTATTTATATTATGACTTTGTATCTCAGCCATTAGAATACCTGTAAACTGGTTAGAATTTTATTCAATTGCAGGTAATTATTGAGATCAGATTCCAACTTTTTCAAAACATATTCAATTTAGACACTGTTTTTTCAAAATATATTCAACTTAGACACTGTTTTTTCAAAATTATTCAATTTGGACACTGTTTGTCATTGAACCTATCATTATAATAAATCAGCCCCCTATAGAATATTTCTTTTGTAATTGCAGTCCCCGGCTCAAAATATATCTCTGAATGTTGGATGCTTTTCAAATAAATTTTGCAATTAGATACAATGACTGTGGAATTTGATCTTTTGATTTTGTCATTGGCTGATTTAGAATCTTTAAGGTTTTCTTTGCTTAATCTATTTTCTTTGTCAATATAAATAACTAAATCGTAGTCTGTTCTCTCACACCTAAAATGGACTGCTGGAAACAGGATGGGAAAATAATGAATTTCTTTGGAAACGAATAAGATTGACTTTGGAAGGGTGAGATGTCTTAACAAATGTGTGCAAGACGATCCAACAGGACTGCCATCACTGATCTCGGTTCCTGAAATTGCTTTTTCTAGTGGTATCTTGTAAAATAGACTTCTTTTGAGATATCCAATCGGTAAAATAATAACTAAAAGTATTAAAAGTATAAACATCTTAAAGAGGGGTTGAAAATATTAGATATGTTTAACTTAGTTCGATAAATCCATGATGTTCTCAAGTGAATGCAATACAACTAACGCTACTTATCTTATTTTCTTATTCTATTTAACCCCTTAGTTATGGAATCTCTCAACAATCTACTCAATCAGCTTCAAAATGAAATAGACAAATCCTCTCCAGACTGTACATCTACAACTCACACATCTGTAGTTCAGAAATTGCAACAGGAAGCCTCCAAAATGTACACTTATTATGCCCTCGATTTTTGCTTGAATAAGTTGAATGATAAGGATGAGTCTGAAAGTAAAGAGGGATTGATGAGAACGAAAGAGATATTTGATCAGATTAAAAATATGGAACTCGGCCAGTGCGCCAGCGAATAAAATTCGATTTAACAATAGAAGTGCTGGATGGTAATTGGTTGTAAATTGTGAACAAATCAGGGATCAATCAAACTATTTTATCAGGCTTAATAAATAGTTTTTATTCAAATGTTTTAGTTGTATTTCTTTAGATTCTCCCAACACGCATTTGGAACCAGTCTATCTTCTGACAAATGAAAATATACTTGCTGGATTAAAATTATTCTGTCAAATTTTTATTTAATATTCAAAAATATTCTGGATACTTTAAGTTCTACCAACACAAATCCAATCAAGTCTTGCATTCCCATCTCCAAAAATTTTTAACAAATTTTTGTCTTTCACATTTTCAACAAATTTTTGTGCCCTTCTAATGCCAATCACACTCAGTGTCTCAAAATCATTTACAAATGCACTTCTAAATCGCAAGGAGATGGAGTTGGTTGCGATTCACGCAAAACAGTCTACTCCAACCAAGGACACAATTGCTTCAGAGCTATCCAAGAACTATTCGATTCCTAAGACCCAAATCTTTGTCCATTCATTGAGAACGGGCTTTGGTTCTCATGAAACAGTTGTTAAGGCACACCTATACAATTCTGAAGAGTTTTTTAGAGCTATTGCCAGGCCGTTTGTGATTAGGAGAGTTACCGGTGAAGAAATTACTGTTGTTCCAAGAAGACAAAGAAAAGATACTAGGAAGAAGTCATACAAGATCTTTGGTACACTCGGAAGAAATATGGCTAAAGCAGCCAAGAGAAACAAGGATGATTAAATAAATCAGAGATAATACCAACTATTTGATGTTTATACATCTATCTCCCGACGTGATCGGAATAGATATTTGTATTTTTCAGGGTAGCTCATCAAAACTATGGAGATACTGGCAATGTTTATCAATTGGTATTAATATTTATGAATATATCATCCAAAAATGATTTGTTATAGAAATGGATGCTTCAGTGGCTTGATTTCAATCATTCCACTTTTATATCCTATAAACATTTCACCTTTACAAATCTGTAGGTCTTTGATTTCCATCTGTGTTTTTTCTATTCTTAAAAGCATCAAGTCTGTATCAAAAAATATTACAGACTTTTTTGTATATAAAATTACTTGATCCCTTACAATCAAAAAATCCAGGGTATCTGAAGGGATCGATGTATGACAAACATCATAGGTTGAATAGTTATTATTGGGCAATGGCTCTATAAAGTCTTTAGTTCCACAAACAGTGCTTGATGCATTAGTATCCCATTTTTCCTGATTAATTTCTTTTCTTTTCGTGAGTTCTATCCTGATTAATTTATCACCAATAATTCTGGAAATTATCATGTTTGTGGAGATTTTGGTAGAAATAATAGATTCTTTAAAATCAACAATACACTTCACAAGTATTATACTATCAGCACAATACTTCCCCGTTGAAGCAGCTTGACTATTGCCAATTCCTCGGATCCACTCCTCTTCACTACACATTTCATCTGTCAAGACAAGTATACCATCATTAGAAATCATATTTGTCCAATTTTCAATACAGAAAATTTTACCATTTTCGAAACTTATGAAAAGGTTTTCATTAAAGACTGAAATATCAGAAACAATTCCATTTGTTTGAAGGGAAGGTTCTGAGTTTCTGTCTGAATTCCCTGATTGTAACTTCCAGCATATACCTTCACTGATCATATCTAGTGAGTTTGTATTTATGGAACATATAGAGTTCCCTAGGACAAATATTATTGATAGTGGTGTTATTGATTTATAAAATCTAATCAAACCGAAATTATTTGTTAGATGCAGGCTATTATTTTCAGTATCGTTAATATCAGTAGCCATTTCTCCCTTAAACCTATAGATTTTATCAAATGTAATTAAATACAGTTCGTTGTTGTAGACAATCGTAGAATTTATCTTTAAGGGAAAATTTGTCAAAGGAAAGTTAACTGTGCCAACGTTGGAAGATTTGAGAAGTTTAAGCTGGGAATATTGGCCATCTTCTTTTTGATAGTTCGAAGTTGGTATTTGAGAAATATACTTCGATGAAACCACAAAGTAGAAATCATCAGAAATGTGAAATGAATTTAGAAGGCTTGAACAGCGAATTATCATCTATAAAATGGGGGATGGAATTATGGAAATCGTATGAATGAAGCAATATACCTATGAGTTTATTCAAATATATGGATTTCAATTGCAGAAGACTTTCTGGCTTTCAACATTATCTGGAATATTCCTAATTTCTCTGTTAAAAATAAATATTGTACTTTATCTTAAAACTTTATGCGAAATGTAATAACATCATAATTACCAAACTAACTCACAAAACAAAATTTAATCAAACCCGAGCTTGTGGTCTAGGGCGGTCAGCCCCACACAAAATGCTCTAAAAATATTCCATGGATGAGTGTAGTCCAGAATATATACATTGTGGTTTTCCTTACCAAATGTAAGAGTAATATATGTTGGATCCAATGGATGAATAATTTGAAAATTCTTTACACTGGCAGTTGTGACTCTCCCACTAAAATTAAGTGAATAGCTGTTTGTTTCCGGATTATAGATCGGATTTTTGTTCGTAAGCTTGATTTTGTCGTAGTCAATGATAAAGGACCTTGGCTTATCTCTTTTTAAAAATGTGACATCATAGAATACCTCAAAGTTACAGAAATCTGCTGGATTATTATAAAGTGAGATACTATGGGGATGGCTTGGTGAGAATATCTGTCTACCACCAAGGCTGTTTGGGTGAATGGCCGTGTGTGCATGTGTTGATGGACTCGATCCAAAACTCCGATCAATAGCCATATCCATCTTGCTATCTCCTCCTATGTTATAAAAGTTGACATTTTTGTTGATTTCATTCCTTGGTATTCTATTTTCAATACTGTCCAAAAGATATTTTTTCTCAACAGTGTATTTCGTACCAAATAGATTTGATTTCATATGTGCAATAAAAGTTCTATCCTCAAATGAGTAAATATTGAATCCACAAATTGTACGCTTAGCATATAAGAGTTGTCTATTGTCAGAGTGGACATAAGTATATGTGCTGAATAGAGAAGGTTCTATGGTAATCTTTGCTTTCGTCAATTTTTCCACTGTATTTTTTGTGTAAATTTCATTCAGAAGAGAGAACTTTGGCTTTATATTGCAGAATCCGCAAGAGGCTTGCTCAACTGCAATTGAATCGGTATCTTCGTAGTTATCATCAAGCTCCATAAAATACTCTGGCTTGGAAACAAATGCTTGAGGTGTATTGCTCTTATCCACTTCAGACAGGCTATTATCTGAGAATTTCTTTTTGAAATCCATTTCTTGGACTATCTTATTGATGTTTTCCTTAGTACTTTCGTTTTGGGTATTGTACTGAAGATTATCTTCGGTTTCATGTAACTCTTCATTACACTGTCCTTTGCTATTCCCACTCCCCCACTTTTTAGCTATTATTTGATAGGCAAGTATTGATTTTCTTGAGGGTATATTTTCTGTTGTATTGGATTCATCTTCGCTGAATTTTGTAGCTGGCATTTTCGGTAATTTCCAACAGAATTTTTTGCAAAGTATCCTTTGAAACACGTATCAAAGGGGTGTTGATTAAAAGCTGATTGGTCGAAAATATAGGAAACGTTTTTTAAAATATGTTAGAATGGTGAAAGATATTATTGGCTGGTAATCCAATTACAACTAATTATTGATTATCAAGAACCAGTTAAGAAAATATTAAATGCAATCGACGCATGCTTATATTGGTTATCGAAAGATGATTTATTAATCTTGCACTTCTAAGTGAGATAACGGGGATTAATTAGAAAATAACAAATAAAGTATTTATGTATTGAAAATGAATCTCTTTTTAATCATCAGTCTTATAAATACATTAATTTATTTGTAAATAGGTAGTTATAGCACATAAAATATTTCACGATATAGGAATTTTGATACTGTTCCATGGTTCTTAATAGCATATCGATTTTTGATAAAACAGTCTACCATTTGTACTTTTCATGAACAATACTGCTTGTTTATCATGCATGCTCAAATTTCCAATATTCACTTTTCTGTTTGTTCCATTTTCCCTCTCATTTTCCCTCCAAAAAAAGTATAAATATGAGAAATTTTCATCAGAAGATGGACTTAGAAAAAAATAAAGCCGAGGCAAATGGGAGTGATTCCACTCTGAATGAGTCAAACACATACCATGTGCACAATCCTTCACAACCATCTATTGTAGATGAGAATGGAAGCAATACCATCAAGGGTAATGATATAGTTGAGAGATTGAAGAATAAAGAACTAGTAGTTGAGGAAATAATAAATAGTTATGAGAGTCCATACACAACTACAGACCCCTATATGAAAGTGAAACAAATAAAAGGTATCAGTGCCAATGATGGGGAGATTACGAAGGGCAACAATGGTGATTCTATGTATGAACCACTTTTAGATGATCAATTAAAAAGATATGTCTTATTCCCCATAAGATTTCCAGAGATTTGGAATTTCTATAAGAAACACGAATCCACATTCTGGACTGTGGAGGAGGTTGATTTAACGACAGATATTGTTGAGTTTAAGACGCTCAATGAGAATGAGCAGTTTTTTATAAAACATGTTCTAGCTTTCTTTGCAGCCTCGGATGGGATAGTAAATGAGAACCTTCTAGAGAGATTTACCCATGATATCAGTTGTTTGGAGGTTAAGTGCTTCTATGGTTTCCAAATAGCAATCGAAAACATTCATTCTGAAATGTACAGTAAACTGATTGAGACCCTAGTAAGTGATCCAAAGGAGCAGGATTTCCTATTCAATGCCATAGAAAATATTCCAACCATAAGGAAGAAGGCGAAGTGGGCTCAGAAGTGGATATCCTCCGATTCTTCTTTTGATACTAGATGTGTAGCATTTGCTTGTGTTGAGGGGATATTCTTTTCAGGGTCATTCGCAGCCATTTTCTGGATCAAGAAGAGAGGGTTGATGCCTGGTTTGACATTTTCTAACGAATTGATTTCTAGGGACGAGGGATTGCACTGTGATTTTGCTTGCCTGATCCACAAATACATCAATAACAAGTGTAAGGTTATTAAGGACATAGTAATGGAGGCAGTAGAGTTAGAGAAGGAATTTCTTACAGAGAGTCTGCCGGTGAATTTGATTGGAATGAATTGTCAATTGATGGGAGAATATATTGAGTTTGTTGCTGATCGATTACTCTACGAACTGGGAGAGAGCAAGATATATTGCACAGAGAATCCATTCCCATTCATGGATAACCTATCGCTTAAGGGAAAGACAAACTTTTTTGACAAGAAAGAAGCCAATTATCAGAAGGGATATGTAGGAATTGATAATGAATTCACATTTACAATAGATGAAGATTTTTAAATAAAAGAATATTGAATAAATACTTTACACAATATCTGTCTTCAATAATAAATGTATTTATTTTGCCCTCCTAAAATGCTGACATATAATCTTCCAACTCTTCCTGTCAAGGATATGGTTGCTTACTTTAACGAGTTGGAAATTTCCATTACCTCAAGCGACATCCTAAAGCCGTCTGCACCAACTGTATATCGTTTTTATAACGATATCCTACTCCTCTATACAGGTGAGCACTTTGTAAATGACGATTCTGAGGCAATATTCAAATGTATTAGAGGAATGTCTAATCTATTAAAACACATGGGAATCACCTTTACAGTACGCGATCTACTTCCTGATTCTCGTAGATTTGTCACGATATTAAGCTATCTGGTTAACTTTAGCATGTTCAGGGATTCTAAGGCACATATCTATAATTCGGCCTCAGAACTTGCAGATCGAAATAACCTGGTCAAAAACAAACACAAGCAAATTAGAGACGAACTTCTAAAGGAAATTGAAAAAAGTAGTAGGATGAGTGCAGAAAACAGAGAGAAGTTCAGCAGTCTAAACAAAGAAATTGCCGAAATTTCTAGTGAGCTGAAATCACTCTATCAAGTTCAGAAAACAAAGGTAGAGGAGCTTACGGTTCTGAAGAGGGAGAGGAATAACCTTAATGATAAGCTGTGTTCCTATGAGATGATGGAGCATAGTTTGAAAGAAGATATTACAATGCTAAGGACAAGGGTTGTGGATAATCCGGAAGAGCTGGTTGAGCTGGTGGAGGAAATGAAACAGATGATTCATGAGGATAGGATCTCAACGGCCAAGAAAAATGAAGAAAAGCTGAAAATTATGACTCAGCTTTCCAATGTGAAAACAGGAAATTCTATGCTGGATAGAATTCATTCCAAGGTGTTAGAGCTATCCGAAACCAACAGTTTATTGGAGAATATAGAACAGCAGAGGGACATTTTGGAGAGCCAGTTGAAAAATAAAGAATCCTTAATCAATTCCTTAAAGATTAGAATAAATCATGCAAATAGACAGATTGAGCACCTAGAAAATAAAATACTAAATTTAACCCAAGCTGATCAAAGAAATTCAGAGGTACTACAGAAGAAAATATCAACTATTCAAAGGAACCATGATCTAGAAGTCCAGGAAAGAAATCTGATGGAAGCAAAGATCAAACAGAACAACAAAGAAATACAGGAATTACAATTCAAAATGACAAATATTCGTTCTGCCCATGATACTCTCTGTTCGGAATATGTTAACATTCTGCTAAAAATAAAAACAGCTATTGAAATAAACTACTAATCGATGGATATGAAGACGAAGCAAATCAATTTTTATGGAATATAATTCATCAATAAATATTTTGAGAAATATTGCAATAATTAATTTAATCAGATAAATACTCACTGTAGATAAAATGCTGGGTAACGACATTTCTCCTAAAAACCTCTTTATCGTACATTGTTTTAAATCCCTTGTTTTGTAGAACCCTAGGTAATTTGAGAATTTTTATTAGCATTACATTTGGATTAGGTCTCACAGTCTCTTTTAGCATATTTCCAAAGGCATCGACTATCAGACTTGCCAAAGAATAATTTTGTTTTCCAAAACTGTGGATGTGTGATGTAAGTATTGTTTCCTTGATGTAATCTATCGCTGATCCCAATAGGTGTCCAATTAAACTGTAATCACTTACGGCCCAGCATCCCCGTGCTCCAGCCGGCTCAATATTGAATTTCTGTATAAATTTCCTTATAATCTCCAAATATTCATCAATGTTTACCAATAAAAAAAGCAATTGTGAGTCAGATATATTCAACTCATCAATGGTTTCAGCTGTATCGTGAATTTTGGTATACAGATAACAGATAAAGTTGAGCTCATGACCTGTGCCATAATCCATTCTGATTCTGTTGCCGAATGACTCGGTTAAATAATTGAAATTTGGTAGTCTATCCTCTGTAGGAGTCGAGTATCTCGGTAAATTATTGTCTGATATTTGCTGGGTTGAATTTGACTGGTTGTGAAGTTCTTTACTTTCACCAAATTTAGTTTTAATTTTGTCAAGGACATTTACCATTCCCAAATTGGCATACCGACCAGGAGATCCAATTGGTGTATCCTCCACAATTGAACGGATATCCTTTAGAACGGGAAGAATAAGACCATCCCTCACAAAATTAGAATAATCTGATTTAGGAGACATGGCGATTTTGTCATCATGTCTTTCTAAAGTACTGTCAAATGCTGTAATATCTGTATGATGTGAAGTACTATGCTGGTCTGATGCTGTCACTGTATTCAATATTGTTGAATTAATGCTTTCAACAAACGACTTGATTTTCTTATAGGCGGGTGTTTCTGTGAAAACGACTGATGGATTTTTATAAAACATTTCAGGGGGAAGAATGAAAAATATAACTACGGACTAAGAAAATAAATGTTTAAGTTTTTATTGAACCAAATGGCCATAGTGAGTTTTTGTAGTTGCTGTATTTGTATTATTTATGTTACTACCGTTAATTTGACTTTCTCTAGGATTGTATGATTATTTATAGAAGTTGTTTAGGCTATATCAATATTTGATAATTAATCAGGTAAATGAATAAATTTGGCTTAAATATCAGTCTGACACCGTATCAAATTACAAGATTTTCATATCCATTTGAAAGTTTCAAACATCAGTCTACTGGTTATCATACTCACCATCAACCTTTCATAGTATTTTGATCAATAATCTTTAGAGCTTATTTTTGATAGTGCCATATAATTTTAATAAGTAGAAATGTAGCCATATCTTTTACAAACAAATAATTGTATTTGGCTGATCGTTAGCATAAATGTTTTCCTGCAATATTATCAATGGGTATTGTTGGGCTATCTCTAGAAAAAGATTATGGGCTTTACAATAATATATTCCCTACACATTCTATGTATGTTTTTCTGTTTTCCCCTTTTAACTTATTTGCACATCCCTTAAATTTAATCAACCCCTTAAGTTTAAAAAACTTTAATATTCAACCCATAAATGTCTAAGCGTAGAATGTCTAAGAAAAGTATTTTAGTTGTTGAGAAGAGTGAGTCTAAGAAGCATACTAATATCGGGGATAGTGATAAAGGAACCTCTGATATGAGTAATAGTAAATCAACTGATAGCATTGCCGTGTCTCCTGATAGTAGAGTCATGACCAATCAGATAATCTCACCCAAAAACTATAATTCCACTCCAGTTGATTGCAAATGCAGTGCAATGGGTAAATTATGTGACAAGTGCAAGAATATTGGTGGATGTGTAATTATAGTTGGGGATGGTAAAAATGGCATTTCCAATAACAAGAAATATGAAATAAACAATACTACAACCGAAAGTATTTCCAAGAATATTGAAGAAATCTGTAACAAGGAGGTCACCAATACTCTAAGTGACAGGTTACCTAAACACACAGTTGATCATCCTGTGGAAGGTATTATTCTGATTGGAGAAACCACTACCAATTTTAGACAGAATGGATTAGATGATCAGAATAATGAAGATGAGATGGCCGGACCAGTATACAGCAGAAATAAAGAGGTAAAACCTAAAAATGGACTAGATGTAGATGATATCAATTCAAAGCCATCAATTTTAAAAGATTCGACAGAGATATTAGATGATGGTTCAGGTCATACCGAAAAGAAGAACGAGGCACCACATGCAAATTCGTCTCCACATGTTAAAATTGTCAATTTTAAGGATCCATATTGTATTTCTTCCTTTAAACCCAAAGTGTTATCAAATCCAGTCTCTACCTCCAAAATACTTGAATACCGAAGACTGAATCAGATAGTGGCTGAAGGTTTTATGCATAAGAAAAGAGTCATTTTTAGATGTTTTTGGCATCAGAAATATTTTGTTCTATTGAATTCCGGAATTTTGGTCTATCACAAATGTGATGGGTCCAAGTTTGCCAAGGGAAATTACGATATTAAGGAGATGGAGGTGAAATCAACAAAAAGTGAGGGATGCTACTATCCTTTCAGAGTTGAATTGTTCCAAGATGACAGTTGTGTTAATTTCTTTGGATTTGATAATGAAGAAGAAAGAGACTACTGGATTATTAAACTAAGAAGTGTTAAGTGAGTGAATAAATTGATGACTGAGGATACAAATGTTAAACTGCCACAATAAAATATTCTTTACCAAGAATTGAGAAGCCGTGAGGATTGTTTGGAGAATGGAGCTTGGTTATTCATATGCATTTCAGGAAAATCTCCTATTGATAAAATTCATTTGTAAGTCATATGAATGATTAATCTCCATTCTTGTTGATCTACTTTCTCCTTCAAAGTTTTCATTAATCCCTTTCTTTTATTATTTATTCCCTTTTCTTGCCTTATTTCTCAAATGGCTTCTAAAAAGTTAGTCATGTTTAAAACTCCCAAAAAGACGGTCAAAACACCATTAAGAATAGTAAAGAAGAGAGTGGAAGAAAATGATGCTGATAGTGTTGATTCACATGGCTATTACGATGATATAGACAGTACATTCGATTCCAGTCATGTGAAAATAAAGGACAAGCCCAGGAACAAATCAAAGCGTAATTCCAAACACAACAAAGCAGATTTATTGGATGAGTTAAAATCGCTGGAAAACTCATTAGTAATTCAACTACAAAAGGAAAATGCATATCTAAGAAACTTGAAATCCGAGGTTATTCTGTATCAGAAACTATTGGGAATAACAATTGAAGCTAATAATCCCAACAATGATGCTATTGTCAATAATATTAATGCTAATGACATTAACTACTTCGATGGCGAGGCGACTTTTAGATTGCACAGATCATCTTCCACAGGCCCAAGGCATATTATATTTTCTCTTAGCGAGGTAGATGATGGCTTTCATTTTCGTCTGATTTCAGTCGAAAACTGTTCAATTCCAGAGTACTTTTACGACGAAATAGAATTTAAGAAAGATGCATTTCCACAATTCTTCTACAAAATAATGCAATCAATTTATGAAACCAGAAGTAACTAGAAATAATATGTTTATAATAAATAATTCGTTTATAACACCAGCGTTGAAATGTTATTGCATATGCTTTGGCCAGATGTAGGTTTGCTGAGGTTCTTTTATTTAAATTGTCTCCTCTCAATATGATATTCCATTCATATTTTTATTGAAAATAATATATGATGCCTATTGCGTTTCTATTTATGTAATAGTGTTATATACACCATGTTGTGAGATGAGTTTTAAAAATGTTCTTTCTACCTGGAAATTAATATGATCTCTGCTAGAACAATAAGCTTTTTCTTTTCATCACAATATATTAGACTGGTGGTACATCTACTCCCCCATTTTAATATATCCCCTTTAGATAATTATTTTATTTTCACAAAGCCCCTTCTAATGTTACAGATAGCAATCTTTGGAAGGCCAGGATGTGGCAAAGGAACACAGTGTAAATTGCTAAAGAAAGAGTTTAAACTAACCCATGTAAGTTCTGGAGATTTATTAAGGACAGAAGGGAGTAAGGTTAAAACGAATGGAACTAAGGCTAGTGATGATAGTCCTAACAGTCAGTCGACAGTAGATGGTGGTGATAAGATGAAGTCTGGTAGATTATTTGATGACAATTATGTTATAAATCTAATGAAAAGAAATGTTCCAAAAACAGATTATATTTTAGATGGATTTCCCAGGTCAGTTCCCCAACTAGAAATCTTCCCAATAAATATTGCAATATATCTTAATATTTCAGAAAAAGAAGGGGAGAAAAGAGCACTGGAGAGGGGAAAGAAAACCAACCGGGCTGATGACAATGAAGAAGCCTATGCAATCAGAACAGAGGAATTTGTGGCAAAGACCATGCCAGTAATAAACAAGTGTAAAGAGAAAGGGATTTTATTGGAGGTTGATGGTGAAGGGAAGGTTGAAAGTGTTTTTGAGAGAATTAGATTAGGTGTGAATGAACGATTGAAAGATTAATAGAACTTTTTTATTAATTAAAATCAATAAATTGATCACTTATTAGTTTTATGCAACTATTGTTGTGGGTAGTATGTATTCTTGTATAACTTTGTATTTCTACTACTCTTTAATGTAGCTTATGACATTATCCATTATGATGGGTACCTTATAAAATAGATTGAAGATATGTGAATCTATAAAAACCCCAGATTTTTGCTTCCATGTCAATAATTTCTGCAATGGAACAATATATGACTGAAAAAATCGACGAGATACATTTACAGGCTCTATTTCTTCATAAATCTTTTCCACAAGAACCTTCTGGCATGACTCGTAAAATATAATATTATTCACCCGACCTGTTAATTTTTCCCCCAATGATATTTGTTGAATCTTATTCATCGGAATCTTAAAACAATCATTGTTAATAAAAATCAGAAGCATTTTGTTCTTGTATTGGCAGCTAATGCCGAGGCATTTCTCATCCGAGTTGATTAGAAGTTCATCATCAGGGATATAGCCATCGTTTATATTGCTGGATTCGCTTTTACACTTGCCAGGTTTACCATTATCTGGCATTTTAGATGAAGTTAGTGACTTTTTAGATGGTAACACGGTGACTTCATCTCCCATCGAGTTATATTGATCAGAATTGCCTTTTTTTAGATCTACACAGTTATAAATGATTTCGTAATCATCTAGTTTCAGAATTGTAAACTTTTGATAGTCAAAGATATTAATCTGGAACTCCAAAGTGAATCTACTGCTATTATTGGCAATGCTTAGCAAGCTATTTCTGAAGTACAACCCTGTTTCTAACCTTCTCAAGTTCAAAAAGCCATTCTGAATTTGTAAATTAAGCGGTAGCATACTCAGAATTGATTTAACACGGTTTTTGTCGTTGAATGACTCATTTAAGTCATTTTCATCCACAATAACTTTGTCATCACCATTAACTAACAATGTCTGATTATATTGATTACACAATTGGGAGTTTATATTTATATTTGGCAAATTATAAATATCTCTTCTGTGAACAGTATCTGGTATAGTGTTCTTTTTTTGAGTGAGATTTGATGTTGTCTCGATTTCAGGATGGTCATTAGAGTAGGGCAGTAGTGATATATGCGACTCATCTTGCAATTTCAAGTCTATAGACTCTTTGATCATTGAGCTACCTTCCATGCCAAATGCCATTTCATTTATTGAA